TACAAAGTCAGTGTCAGAAGTAATTTACAACAGTCCTTCAAGCAAACGCATTTAGCTCAGATCACCATCATCCTTGGTGTTTTTACCACAGCAGGAGCAAGACGACCTGACCACACTTGCTGTTACAAGTTCATCCCCATGAGTTTATCACTTGATAAGAAATTACAGTACTAACATGTTCCTGCAAACATCAGATTGGCTGGGTCACTTTCTGCTCCAAGGAGGTAGTGTCAAGAGAAGCACCTACATCACTGCAGAGCAATTTGCAGTGCTTAAGGCACGAGGAGCAGGTCTGGAAGCCAAGGCTCAAGGTGAGAATTGCACGACTGCTTTTACTGCAGGTAACCAGGAACCAAATAAAAGCTTTCAACAAAACATCTTTACACGTACCCAAGGTGATGAAGTCCAAGTGGATGCACTCAGAGAATCAGTCAGGCAAACCCAAGAGCCAAAGACACCCTTTTCAGTCAATAAATAAATGGGATCTGAAATTGGAAACTATTTAATGCTATTTATTCACACTACCCCACATCCCAAACAACTCTCAATCTGACTCCAATTTATCCCCTTCCCACACTTCCTTCCACCACTTAGCTTGGCCTTTCCTGCCCTAAATGATTAATGCCTGAAATCCACACACATTTATGCCTTGCAGCGAGTTTATTTTCCTCTTAGTTGTAGCTAGCCACACAAAGCCACTTCTGTCTGGCTTCAATTTAAACTAAGATACAACAGAGCTAATGAAGTCTGCAAGCTGGGATATCAGAAGCAACTTAACCACATGAATACAGAACTCTCCTTCCAGACTCATTATGCACAGGGAAAGGCACAGAGACACTGCTACAATGTGCAGAGCAGATGTGTTCTGAGGCATATAGGTTTCCGTAACAGTCACCCAAATTGCACTGGGCTGCATGAGAGTAGTGTTATGACTAGAATTAAGTTGGGCAGTAGAAGTCAACCAAATCCTGTTCTCTAAAGCCAGGCTGGAAGTCACGCTGGTGGAACACAGCTCAGGCAGGGGTCTCAGTCATTTTGAGAATGGCTTTGTCATCCATGAAAAATCTCTTTGGTCATCAGAAGATATTAATAGCTCTTGATATTCTCATCAAATGACCTCCTTTGAGTACTCAACTAACCACTGAAAAACATCATTCAGGCAAACCAAGCCAGAGTAGGCACAGTGGGTCTGCCCCCATGCACAGCACAGCCCACATGGAAGCCGTGAAGAAGGAACCTGTGTACACCATGTGGGTTGCAGTTGTGGTAGGAAAGTCAAGGCATTTAGTGTTTCACTGTTTGTTTTCTGTCTGTGACAATCAGAGAGTAACTGAAGTGTCTTACCCCACCCAACTGAGGTAAAGGAAGGATTATAACGGCTCCACTGGTGATGGGTGTAGAGATGAGTATTGGAACGTTCATTTACTCTCCTTGTCTGCACTAAATGACTCCTTATCCAGACTTACAAGATGAGGACTTCAGCAACAGAAAGGACAATTAAAAGTTACCAAGGTTCTGATCCTAGTCCCACAATTTGTTTTGGTGCCCCCCATTATTCTGCGAGACATTCAAGCACAGGCAGGACTGTGAGCTACTATTTCAGCCTTGAAGCTTTGTCATTCTGGAATGGAAATGTGATTGTTAGATGGAAAACAAAAAGCCCTCACGCTAACCACAACTCCAAAGCCTGCAAGTGTTGCCTTGAGACCATTTCCTAGAGTCAGCAGAACTGGCTCCCAACAGGCAGAATGCTTTGGTGGCAACAGCAGCTCCAACTTGACTCCATTTCTGTGTCTGTAACGGTAACAGATATGGCCAGAGCACCCTTAACACCTTTCCAGAGTTCATTGCCAGATATCCTAACAGCAAAGTCTTGCACCTACGCTGGGGCAGTCCTATGCACAACTACAGACAGAGAGGCTGGATGGAGCAGCCCTGAGGAGAAGGACTTGCGGGTGTTGGATGAGGAGAAGCTCCCCATGACCCAGCTTCAGTGTGCGCGTGAGCCCAGAAACCCCCCTGTGCTGGGCTGCAACCCCACAGCATAAGCAACAGGTTGAGGGAGGGGATCCTGCCCCTCTGCTGTGCTCTGGGGAGTGCCCCACCTGCAGTCCTGATCCAGCTCTGGGGCAGCAGCACAAGAGGGACATGGAGCTGCTGGAGCGAGGCCAGAGGAGGCCATGGAGATGCTGCGAGGGCTGGAGCAGCTCTGCTCTGGAGCCAGGCTGAGAGAGCTGGGCTGGGGCAGCCTGGACAAGAGAAGGCTCCTGAAGGGGAGACCTGAGAGCAGCTCCAGTGCCTAAAGGGGCTGCAGGAAAGCTGGAGAGGGGCTTGGGACAAGGGCCTGTAGGGCCAGGCCAAGGTGAATGACTTTAACCTGCCCGAGGGGAGACTGAGATGAGCTCTGAGGCAGAAGCTCTTCCCTGGGAGGGTGCTGAGGCGCTGGCACAGGGTGCCCAGAGAAGCTGTGGCTGCCCCATCCCTGGCAGTGTTCAAGGCCAGGTTGGACACAGGGGCTTGGAGCAAGCTGCTCTAGTGGAAGGTGTCACTGTCCATGGCAGGTGGCTGGAACTAGATGGGCTTTAAGGTCCCTTCTAACCCAAACCAGCCTGTGATTCTGTTATTTGGTGTTATGCCTGCACCGACCTGTGGCAGAAGTCAGAGTAACATAAAGCAGCATTAGGTAGCTTTGCCCAGAGCTACCCGCAGGCCCAGAGTGGAAATTCCCCACAGAGAACAGAAACTTATTAGTAAAACTTTTCAACAAATTTAGCCATATTTTAACAAGCCACTTCAGGTGCAGATGTTCTAAAGCAACAAGAACATTTACAAATCAAGACTGAAGGAACCAGACTGGCTTGTTTTCAGTGCTTGTGTCTCCATCGGCAAAAAGCTTTGCTTTTCAACCCTCAGCACCTCAACTGATCCTGCACTGCCTGGCACTACATGTTGCTGCATTCACTCTGGGTTCTCTTTCCATGGGAGTCAACTCATTTTTATAACACAATTCTGCTGTAGGGATAATCTGCTATTTCAAGAGGTTCAAATGGAGGAAGCTACTAGTCAATGCTGCTCTACATTGAGGTGACACAGCAAAAATGCACTAGAAGAGATACATCCAGGAGTGATTCCAGCCCTATGCTATATGCCCACTGAGTGGCCTTCAAACCATGTAAACCATCATTTTTTAAGGGGAAAACCACCCCCAAACTCCACACTAATACAGATAGCTCAGGACCTGGCTAAAGGCTTTGCAGCACAGATGCATATAGTCCATGACAGAGTGGGACTGATCTCAATAGTGGCCACTACCCATTGCACACCTCAGCGGCAGGGAAGCAGGGACAGATGCTCCACTCCACAGCTTTATTGAAGTCTATGTCATTTCCAAAGGCTTTGGTGTTCCTGTTGTGCATCCATGCTCAGGCACTTGGAAAGACTATCCCAAAAATAAGAGTAAAAACACCCACAGCAGCATGAAACAGAAGCAAAGAGCAAGAAGTTGTTTTAATTTGAAAAAGAAAATTAACACCCCCCCCCCCCCCCCCCCCCCCAAACAAATAAACCAGGGATGTCATTTCAAAGAAAACTTAATGCATGAGCTGCAGCATCTGAGGTACAGCAAGCTGCAAAGGAATTATTTATAAAGCCCAATGACACAGATTCTTCCGTTCCTAAAGTGACAGAGATAAGCTGTTTGCTTTGACAGCTTCACTGTGGGCCTTTGGCATTCAAACTTTTGATGTCTGGAGTTTAAGGCAAAAGCTTTTTAGATTCTGTTTTCTTTTCCAGGATGTTATCACATGAAAAGAAGGAAGCAAAGTTGAAAAGTTCAGACCTGTCAGTTTTCCACTTGTGAAAGAGTTGAATGTAATCAGCTTGAAAAGCACGTTTACCTGCCAACATGAGCATGAGATGATCTAACAAACTGCAAGACAAGTAAAGCTGAAGTGCAACTAGGCCCTACTCAAGGCATCACACAGATGCGCTCACTGTTTCTCACTTACAGACCAAAAAGAGCCCCTGACCTTCACTGCAAACCCACTTGTAACAATACTTGTGCAGAAACCCTGAACATTTAACACACAATCTGAAAGTAGAAGGAATCTATTTAGGTGAATCATGGTGATATCACTTCTTTAGCAATGAAGATTTGTGTGAAGTTTCACCAGAAAAAGGAATGAGGTTTACAAGGTATAATAAGATTTTATCACCATATTTTTGTCTACAACACCACCACAGAAATATAGCCATTAACTGTAGATCCAGCATGGGAACTGGGGACTTGTCAATAACCTCCTGGCATCAGCCAAACTGCTGCAGTCTCTGATGATCTCCAGCTCATCAGCTTGATTCTGGTCCCCACCTGGATGGCTTCTTGGAAAGAAAACTCTGGATTTTGCAGAGTACATTGGGGAATTAATGCTTCCCACCAATTTGCAAGGAACCAGTGCTTTAATACAGCTTGTCAGTCTACTGCAAGATGGGGATTCTATTTACTCAACTTTAACCTGCATGGCTAAATAAGAAATACAAAAGCCAGCTTCTAGGAAGTAAGTCAAGAATATGTTGTGATGCACTGCAGGCACAACACACTGCCAGAATTCACCATAGGAGGAGGTAGACACTTGAGTTAAAGGTAGGTGGTATCTAGAGATAAATGATGAGGTATGGAGAGAAGCTGAGCAGTCAAATTGATTATAAAAATGAATAATAATAATAATCCACAGTCAGCAAAACTGAAAAGCTTTCAGGAGCCACCTGTACCGTTTCACCAGCTTTAACACAGAATGGTTTGAGTTGGAAGGGACCTTAATGCTCATCCAGTTCCAATCCCCTGCCATGGGCAGGGACACCTTCCACTAGAGCAGGTTGCTCCAAGCCATGTCCAGTCTGGCCTTGAACACTGCCAGGGACTCACCACCCTTATAATAAACACAGTAAGATCTGGTGTTAAGGTCCATTTCTGTGTTGGCAAGTTGAACTGAACCAAACATTACCTTCCCCCAAGTCCTGGGCCTGCTGCGCTCTCCTCTGGGCTATCAGCCGGTTTGCCATGTTCCTCCGGCGCCTTGGCATCCCATCTCCCCTCTCATCCACATGGGGCCGTGGTCTGGCTGCTGCTGCTGCTGCCACATCTCTCTGGTGCTCCTCATCAGCTGCAAAAGGAAAATAAAACTGATGCGAGATCCACCACCTCTGCTTGCTGCAGTTGTCCTTTCACCAGTCAGCTGTTGCAATCAGAATGGCAATGCCAGTGGTGCCTTCCTAATGAGAAAATGCATCCCCACTCTCATGTGGTTTTTTTCCTGCATGGCAGGAGATACCTGCAAGTTGCCTTCCCATGATTAAGCAGGATCATGCACTGGAACTTTCTTATTTCCACCCTGTGCAATGGAGATTTTATCCTGACAGCAGTCTCTTCTGCAATAACATATAGATCATTGTAAAGAAAAAGCTAATGTGCTAATTAGCTATGTGCTAATGTTATTTCAGCTGACAGAACCCACACACACAACGAAAATAAATCAGCCCACCAAAGACAGCCCCCCAAGTGCTCAAAATAATATCCTTAATGTAATAACTTAATTTAATAGTAATCTGTTTTTCCCTTCTGCTAGAAAACTATTCCCTTTTATATGGCACTCTAGTAATTTCTGAGTTATGAAAAGGCAGGGACCCAGAAGCACTTCTTCCCCTTCTAAAGTTGTACTAACTTAGAAGTACATTTATCTGAACTCAAACCTCAGAGCATGCATGTTCAGAGTGGAATATGTAAATCATTATACCTGAAACAAAACCTGAAGAGCAAATAATCATTACAAGTTCTAGCTTGAACACATAAAGAGTAACTTCACTCTACCACCCTGATTGAACTGTGGGTCTCCCAACAAATACATGTAGGGAAAGCCAGAACCCCAAAGGTTAATGCAGCTCCACTCCATCCTCTCTGCTTATGCTTCAGTTACTAATTAAAATGTTACAAATGAGGAATATCCTAACAGAGAAGCAGCAAGGAGACAGCATGACAGGAAGCAACAGACCAGTGGGCTTACTTGAGATCTCCACAGAAAATCCTCCACCAGCTTTTTCTTTGAGACCTCCATGATCCTGTTCCTATCAACGATGGTAGTCATGCTCAAGCAGATGGTAGTCATGCTCTCAGATAATGGTAAAACTTCACCATCCTCGATATCTGCTTTGCATATTCCATTGATAAGCAGAACTGATATTTGTGTAGGTTGCTGCTTGCTCAATCCTACAAAGAACTAACTGCTGTGCCCTAATACAGGTAAATATTCAAATGGTCTCATGGAAAGCTGCACAACTACTCATTTACTTCAACTCAGGACACTTTTTTGCACTTTTCAGCAGGGACACAAAATGCTTTTCTCATTCTGCCAACTCTCCACCATACTCTGATTCTAAAAAAACCCTACTATTAGCATATCTACAATGAGAAAATAAGATTCATTACAACTACATCTATGTGATGATCAAAAGGTGTGCTTGGAGCTCATCTTCGTGCATCTCAATTAGCTTCAAAGCAGCTAACTTTGCCTCTGATAAGACTACAGCTGCAGCCCAGGCTGCAAACCAGAGTAATGTGGGGAAGTATTTGGCCAGCAAAGCCTGTAGCAGTTCAGGATTGCTGCAGCAATGATGTTAGCAGTGCCCCAGTGAACTCCAGCACTAACACACATTGGAACATTTTGAACTGAGTCATTGCACTATCACACTGCAGTCACCCTTTTTATCCACTCCTTTTATGTGTGGACTACAAGAAGTCTACAATAAATTACAGAATGCTGGCTCCAGAGATCTGATCATCTTGCTTCAAGGCTTGCCCAGTCTTATTTATAGCATGATAATGCTTATTTTTGAATGCCATAGGACATGCAAAGGCAGAGCAACGGGTCACTTACTGGGACACTATCAAATGCCAGAAATACTCAGTCTGCCAAAGACTTTTTATAAAGGCAGTATTTCTTCTAATAAGCTTTTGAGATACACTGGAACCTTAGCATCCTTTCACCGGGAAGCTTCAGTGGGTGTATCCCAGTAGCCTCCAGTGATGGTCCTGCACAGCCAGACACTTGCTCATTCTGGGGCCTGGTTTCGGTTCTCAGTGTCCTGTGAAACAGAGACTGGTTTGCATTTTGTGAAAGAGGAAACTACTTATAAGACACATATTAATTTCAAACTGAGGTGTTTAACCCTCACAGAGACCAATCTGTGAACCAAGCTACCCTGTTTTCTCAATTAAATTCTCCACAGAAGACTCAGTAATTCTTCAAAGCTGACCAGTGTTACAGAGGCTTTGAAAGTCATAAAAACTCCAAACCATACCGTGGTCAAACATACAAGGCAGTTGTTGGACAATGCTTGTCAGACCTACAAAGCATACAAACAGCAGAAGACACCTAAACACTATGGATTGTTCATTAGCAGAAAATAACATGCTTTAATAAAGCTTTTTTTTCTTCCCTCCTCCCCCTAAAGCTTCTGTTTGTAGGCATTCATCTGTACAGACATTTGAGAAACATGAATGTTAGTCACTGCATTTCTCCCAGTGCTTCATGAGGAGGAGGAGAAAAGAATCATTCACTCTGCCTGTAACATGTTTCTACCTGGCTGGTTCTTCAGGGGTCAGTGATTTGCCTACGTGGCTCAAGACACATCAGCTGGTGCCATGCCTAGAAAGTCAGACAAGCTCTTTCTCCCTCCATATTGGAAGTATCCCAGATTGTCCAGAGCTGCGTGAGCAGGCCTGTAACTGGTGGTCTCACAGAACACACAGGATACACTAAAACCATAGAATCAGAGTGGTTTGGGTTGGAAGGGAGCCTAAAGCTCATTCAGCTCCCTTGACCTGCTCCAGCACCTCAATGTCTCTCTTGTAGTGAGGGGCCCAGAATTGAGCACAGGATTTGAGGTTCAGCCTCACCAGTGCCCAGTACTGCTGCCACACTGGTGCTGATACAGGCCACGATGCTGGCGGCTTCTGGCTGCCTGGGCACAAGGTGCTCATGTTCAGTGGCTGTCAATCAGCACCCCAAGGTCTTTGCAATGTTATATCATTGGAAAGAACACTTTCAGAACCCCCAGACTTCTCAGTACCTAATTTTACATCCCCCAGGCATAAATCTGCTCTTTCACAAAGCCTCAGAGGAGGCTTTCCACTCAGAGGAAAGACATTTTCCCTTGTGAAGCAATCCTCTGCTATCACAGCGCATCATGATCAGTTCTATCAGATAAGCAGGTCCATCAGGGTTAACACCTGGGCTGGAAAGTTTCAGGCAAAACAAAGTTCTTGAGCTCTTTCACCCCACACCAACACAGAGAGAGCTCCACCTACTGCACCTTGACACTACTTCCCACCACACTGGTGGCATCCAGTATCTTCCACCTTCACACTAACCTAACCTGGGATATTCAATGAGAAAGCAACTTGACATGCCACAAGTGGAACTGCGCTTGGCTTTCCCAGGAAGGTCCATCTTATCACCTTAAGGCTTGTTCACAAACAGATATGCCAACCACGGATAAAAGCCAGCAGGGCTACAGATTTTCTATTCTCAGAAGCCCAGACATGATCTTGCTGGAACCACTCTGCTGCTCCAAATGACCTTTGAAAGGAAACACACAGTTATAGGATTTACCTCTGGTGACCCTTAGCTCCTTTCATTCTCTAAACCAGGCAAGTTTAAAAGGAAATTCCCAAAGAGAGAATAAAGAGAAGCTGCTGCTCTAACCCCTAGACTTTAACAACAAAAGAATTAGTGAGGCTACCACCAGTTCTCCAAGTTAAGTGTCTCTGGTTTCAAGTCTTTTCCACGTTTACAGCCTTACTAGGTGAATTCACACAGCTTTACTAATAGAGCGGTAGCAGCTTCCACTTACCATACAAGAAAAAGGAATACAAAAGCAAAATCCTGCTTAAGATCAAGTTTTGCAGCTATTAAATACACCGCAGGTTTTAAAAACCAAGTTTTGTTGTGTAAGGAGAACAAAGTAATTCTGCAAAGGACTTTACAATGACAGAAATCAGGATATTAAGGTAGAAATTATCTTAAGCCCACAATAAAATAAAGCAAGACCAATGTAGAAGGGTCAAAAAGCTGCCACCGAAACAGAGGCTTCAACATGATTAAACTATCCTGGGTGTAAACTAATTTTAACCAAACTGCTCACAACCAGATTGAAGCTTTTGGAGAATCCACACCATTTAAAACAGAAGTTTGGGCTTCATTTTAGTTAGAACTTTTTATGCTTAGGAAGGAAATGAATCCTGCCAGACCTCATAGCCTCTGACTTACCCAAGTCAATATCAGGAAATTATGTATTTCAGTCACTTTCATCAAAAGCTCAGCTCCAAGTCACCAACTTCATCAGTTTCCAAGCTATTAAACAGTATTAAGACAAGGTCTATACAAGAAGAGGTGTAAGGAAATGTGTTCTTAAATTTACTGATTTTGAACAGTAACACTGAATAACTGATCGAAAAAAAACATTTACTGAAATGTGATCTTAAATTTAAGTAATAATTTCAGTATTATCAGCAAAGCTTTTAATACAAAGTCCTTACCAGCATACATTCCCTTATATGCTCTGGAATGCCTGAGTTTTGTGTTTTTCTTTGTCTCTTATGGTTAGACTTGATGATCCTAAAGGTCCTTTCCAACCTAAATCATAGAACAGTTTGGGTTGGAAGGAACTTAAAGCTCATTCAGTCCCAACCCCTTGCAACAGGCAGGGGACACCTTCCACTAGAGCAGGATAGTCCAAGCCCTGTCCAAATGACTACTATTCTGACTGCTGGTCAGCAATAAAACACGCTGCTTGAGATAGGGCTGAAGTGCTGTTATCATCTCCCTGCTCCCAGGATGGGACTGCACACCACCATGCAGACGCATATAGACGGTAGCAAGCCCTTCCAGCACCGAGTGAAGTGGGTACAGCTGTCACGGGATGGAGAGGCTGCCCTGCTATTGGGGTGCCACGCCTGACAGGTGCAATAACCTGCCAGGGAGGACCCGGCGTGTCCTCACACCGTGGCTTTCACTCCATTACAACAGGGACACTCTCCCTTCCACCCGCCCATCCCGAGAGCACAACCCAGTCAGACCTCAACCCCACGGCAACCACGCTCACCCCGGACCCGCCAGAACCCGGCCACCAGGCCCATCCCGCAGCAGCAGGCCTCACCGAAGGCCAGGACTCCCCCGGGGGCTAAGGAGCCACCCCAGCGGGCGGAATGAAGCGCAGGACACCGGGGATCCCCCGGGGCTCCCCCGCCATGGCGGCTCCCTCAGAGGAAGGCCTCAGGCAGGGAGCCCCCACAGCAGTTTCCATGGAGACGTTCCCCCCCCCAGGACCCCACTGAGGCAGGGGCGGGCCCGGCACAGGTCCCACCACCGGAACGGGGCGGGAGGAGCCCCGGTGGGGCCATGACCCACCTTCCCTCACTTGGCCGCGGAGACGGGTGGCGAAGAAGAGGAGTACGGCGAGGAGCACGGCACCGATGGCAAGCAGCACCGCATCCATGGTACGGTACCGCACCGGCCACCGGTGCGTGTATGTGTGTGTGCGGGAGGACGGCGCTTGGTACGCTCCGCCTCTCCCCGCTGCAAGGCCCCCGCGCTGGGGTGTCCAAGGTGCCTGCAGCGGGGGGGGGCGCTGAGGAGGGCGCGTAGGGGATGTGCAGGCGCGGCGTGGGGCAGCCCTGGCGGGGAGGGGGCCTTGTAGGGGAGGTGAGGCAGTGAGGGAGGGCGGCCCCCGGGCGGTCGTTGGCGGGGTCCCGTCGGTAACGGGAGGGAAGTGGAAAGGGAAGGTTGGGAATTATGAGGTAAAACTGTGGCTTCATCCATAGCCATGCACCTGAGCAATGCATCGGGGCATAGAAACATAGAATGGGTTGGAAGGGACCTTAAAGATCAGGGGTCTGGAGCCGCCTGTCCTAGGAGGGGGGGGAGCTGCGGGAGCTGGGCCTGTTTAGTCTGGAGAAGAGCAGACTGAGAGGGGGTCTCATAAATGAAGACCAGTGTCTCAAAAGCGGCTGGTGCTGGACGCTGTCAGCGACAGGATGAGGAGCAGCGGCTATAAACTATAACACAAGTTTCACCTCAACATGAGGAAGAACTTACTGACGTTAAGGGTGGCAGAGCACTGGAACAGGCTGCCCATGGGTGTTGCAGGGTCTCACTCTGTGGAGACATTCAAAACCCACCCTGGACATGTTCCTGTGTGTTAAGCTGCTTTAGGTGGCCCTGCCTTGGCAGGGGGTTGGAGCAGATGGTCTCTAAAGGTCTCTTCCAGCCCTAATGATGCTGTCATTCTGTAATTGTCTGTTTCCAACCCCTGCCACAGGCAGGGACACCTTCCACTAGAGCAGCTGCTCCAAGCAGCATCCAGCCTGCCCTACCAGGGATGGGTCCAACCCAGGCAGGCTGTGCTGGGTATGCCATCTGCCAGGGCATCCCTGGCAATGGGAGCTTAAGTTACACCTATGAGTAATATATAACTTTTGCCTTTAAGACAGTGGTATGCAGGCATGGAATGAAGCTGGAGCTGCCTGGCTCAACAGCATGTTGGGTAGCTGAAGAACCCAAAGGAAGTTTGCCCCTGACAAAATCGGAGAGTCCGTCCCTGAGCTGGCCCAAACCAAGCTGTTTCATGTAGTGAACTGGCTTAATTTGGTAAAAAACAGGAAACCAAGCTGCCCAGAGGAAGGTGATTTGTTTAAAAGTCAAGTGGGACTTTGGAGCAAGTCCAGAGGAGGCCATGAGGTTGATCAGGGGCTGGAGCACCTCCTGTATGAAGACAAGCTGAGAAAGTTGGGGCTGTTCAGCCTGGAGAAGAGAAGGCTGCATGGAGACCTCAGAGCAGCCTTCCAGTATCTGAAGGGGGCTGATAGGGATGGTGGGGATGGACTCTTCATTAGAGACTGTAGTGACAGGACAAGGGGGGATGGGTTTAAACTGAAACAGGGGAAGTTCAGGTTAGATACAAGGAAGAAACTCTTCCTTGTGCTGAGGCGCTGGCACAGGGTGCCCAGAGAAGCTGTGGCTGCCCCATCCCTGGCAGTGTTCAAGGCCAGGTTGGACACAGGGGCTTGGAGCAAGCTGCTCCAGTGGAAGGTGTCCCTGCCCATGGCAGGGGCTTGGAACTGAATGAGCTTTAAGGTCCCTTCCAGCACAAACCGCTCTGGGATTCAATGATCTGTACAGAGCCAGTGCAAGGTGGGAGGCCTTTGGCTGTAGATTGGTAATTGCTTCAGGCTGATCTCATGCTGGTCTCCAGCCAAATGGAGGGTCTGCCTCCTGTCCCTCCCCTTCTACTTGGCAGCAGCACTCCCTAGCTGTGCAATGGGCTGGAGCAGGGAACTAATAAGGGAATAATATATGTTTTTTTTTTCCTGGGTTTGTTTCGTGGTTTAAGCTCATCTGTAAATCACGCATCAGTCATTCTCTCCTCCCTTTTCCTTCCTCCTCCCGTTCTCGGAGGGATGGAGAGGAGAATCGAAAGAATGTAACTCCCACAGGTTGAGATACGAGCAGTCCGGTAACTAAGGTATAACACAAACCACTACTGCTACCACCAATAATAATAATGATAAGGGAAATAACAAGGGAAGGGAATACAACTGCTCACCACCCGCCGACCGATACCCAGCCAAACTCAGCACTGAACCAGCCCTTCTGGGTGACTGCCCCCAGTTTACATCCTGAGCATGATGTGCTGTGGTATGGAATACCTCTTTGGTCAGTTTGGGTCAGGTGTCCTGTCTCTGCTTCCTCCCGGCTTCCCCTCCTCCCTGGCAGAGCATGAGACTCACAAAGTCCTTGGGTCAGGGGAAACATTTGAGCAGTAACTAAAACCATTGGTGTTAACTGTTCCCAGGCTGAAAGTCAAACCCACAGCACTGCACCAGCTACTAAGAAGGAGAAAAATGACTGCTACTGCTGAACCCAGGAGAGTTTGTTTTTTAGCCAGATCAGAACAAGGATCAGCATAAAAAGATGCTGCAGGAACTTGCAGCTGGGGGTGGAGAGCAAATCTGAAGCCAGTTGTGGGGTTCTGCCCCAGATCTTTTGTCAGCGAGTATTTTCTCTTTTACTAGTTTTGACCTGCTTTGTGGTTGTAAAGTTGTGACTGATCGAGCCCTTTCTTGCTCTGGAGATCCCTTTGCTGAGGCCTTTGGGAGAACTGCTGTTGGGGGAAATGTTTTAATACACGGAAAATGGAAGTGGGAGGATATTGGACGTCTAGACATGATCCAAAAGAACTTTTAGCTGTGACAGACACAGACTGTCAGGAGCTCGAGATAAAGTCAGATCTCCTACAGTAAAACCAGCTCCTATAAGAAGTTTGTTAAGGCTTATCACATCACAGTGGGATGTGCTCAAAAAGGAACCGAATTACAGACGTAATGTTTTATTACAAAGTTTGATTTTAGTACTAATCATTCAAATCTCATTTTGGAAATCAGTGTCGATGCCCCTTTGCTCAAACTCTGTTGTCTGTGGTCTGTTTCTCTCTTAACAGGTTAGTGGAAAACAGGTTGTTGGAACAACTCCAGAGGAGGCCGCGAGGATGGTCAGGGGCTGGAGCACCTCCCGTATGAAGATAGGCTGAGAAAGTTGGGGCTGTTCAGCCTGGAGAAGAGAAGGCTGCGTGGAGACCTCATAGCAGCCTTCCAGTATCTGAAGGGGGCCTATAGGGATGGTGGGGAGGGACTCTTCATTAGGGACTATAGTGATAGGACAAGGGATAACGGCTTAAAACTTCAACGGGGGAAGTTTAGATTGGATATAAGGAGGGAGTTCTTTACTGTGAGGGTGGTGAGGCACTGGAATGGGTTGCCCAGGGAAGCTGTGAATGCTCCATCCCTGGCAGTGTTCAAGGCCAGGTTGGATGAAGCCTTGGGTGAGATTGTTTAGTGTGAGGTGTCCCTGCCCATGGCAGGGGGGCTGGAACTGGATGTTCTTAAGGTCCATTCCAACCCTAACTATTCTGTGATTCTATGATTTTTACCATGTGGTCAGAAAGGATGTATCCTCTGGCAGCTTCCGAGGCACAAGGAAAATTGCATCTATCCACAGTTAGCTAAATGGGGAACTGAAGCTCGCCTGGTGGGTATATTGTGCTTCACACAGAGGTTGTTTTATGTGTAATGGTCAGGATTCTTTCAGAAATAAAACCTGAATGACAAGTGTTTGGGGTGTTCTCTATTTCTTTGCCTGTACATCTGAAAAACGGTGACCCTTTAATGAGAGTTTAATGGGGTTCGTCATCATCCAGCTACTGACCTTGCCCTGCAGCCAGACGTTACTTGTGTGAGTGATGTGTATTTTATTTACTTGCGTGGTCCCTCTGGCCTTTACTAAGGAGGTGATGATGACGTCTTTGCTCCTCTCTGGGCTGCAGATGAGGTTTTGCCTGTAGGTGTCACCATTATGCCGTGTAGAAGCAGAGTTTAAACTACAGAGGAGCATCCGTGCCTCCCGTGTTCAGTGTGGATATGACGGGGGCTCATCCAGTTAAAACTCATCCAGTTCCAGCCCCCTGCCACAGGCAGGGACCCCTTCCACTAGAGCAGCTTGCTCCAAGTCCCTGTGTCCAACCTGGCCTTGAACACTGCCAGGGATGGGGCAGCCACAGCTTCTCTGGGCACCCTGTGCCAGTGCCTCAGCACCCTCACAGGGAAGACCTTCTGCCTTATATCTAACATGAACTTCCCCTGTTTCAGTTTGAACCCATCACCCCTTGTCCTATCACTACAGTCCCTGATGAAGAGTCCCTCTGCAGCACCCTTGTAGCCCTCTTCAGACACTGGAAGCTGCTCTGAGGTCTCCACGCAGCTTCCCTTGTCCAGTCTGAAGTCCCAGTTTTCTTAGCCTGTCCCTTTAATGTTTTTCCTAGTCTAGATCTGAAACAATCCCTCTGATTTCTTCAATATCCATGTGGATTTCAGAGGACATTGAGGTTCACTTTCCACCAGAAAATATCCCTGAAGGCTGTGATGAGTGGTGGGAGTTAACTGAGTGAAGTGACCACAGTCAGAGCACAACTTGTCCCACTCAGTCTTCAAATACAGTAGGATCACAGTAATCCAGAACTTGCAAACCTTTGATTTCCTCAGCCAGCATCAGGGCAGCTCCTGATCCTGATACAGGCAGATTGTGGGGCAAAATATGTGGCTTTTCAAGCTATTCTGATGAACAGTCAGCACATTCCCCCCTCAAATACCTCATTGTATATGGGAATTATATACACTTGCACAAGCGATCATCACTTCTTTGTAACACCAACAAGGATTAATCCTGCTGGAAGAAGTGCAGTCCCAGATTGTTTGATTCACTAAGTGCATGGTGGCATCATGTATTGATGTCTGGTAATGAGACTCTAAGTAGAGGCAATTCAGCTTTATCTGTGCTAATAAACTAAGTGCATCCAGGAACTAAATGTATCCTGGGCCCTGTGGCCAACTGGCACAAGATGCTGCCTTCCACACTTGTAAACTCTTTTTGCCTTCCAGAAGAGGGTGGCTGGTTTCAGATTGCCTCCTGGGAGTTGTTTTTGGGGCTGGAATTATCTAGGAAAAT